ACAGTTGACCCTGTCTCCTGTGGTGCTGCAAAAGTGTATTTTTTTTCTTCTAGGCATGATTCACAGCCGGCAGGAGGTCTGTCACCCCATATAGCACCCAGCCAGACACATTACGCCTCAGAAGACTGGGTCTGCTTTCTGTAGCTTCTACTGCAATAAATTAGTTGTAAATAAACACAAACACTTTGCTTATTTCTCACCAGTTACTTAAATGCAATTTAAAAATGAAATTGTTAGACTGATAAAAATCTTTTGTGTCCTGATCTTTGGGAAAAAAAGCTCCGTGTTCTGGTCTGCAGCATGCATTTTGCTTGCATATCTGTTCACGTGTTCAGCAAGGAGAGCATTTTTCCACTTAAGACGCCCAATGTGGGCATGTCTGCTCCCATAGCGAATTTGACTGCTTACATCATTTTCAGGAGACCTTGACGTCCCTCAGCCAGGGCTGCTGTTTATGATGTCATAGTTGCAAGTGTCATGTGATCTGATGTTTTAAAGCATTTAATATGTATGCAAAGCGTTTGGCAGCATGGTGGCATAAAGGTTAGTACTTCTGCCTCACAGTGCTTCGATTCCATGATCCTTTAACATAGGCCTATAGAAGGCACCTTCTATGCGGAGTCTGCATGTTCTACCTATGTCAATGTGTGTTTCTGCGCTAACACAGCACATAGTAGGCTGGCCAAAGGGCTCTCCTGCTTCTCAATAAGCATCTATGCCACGTTCTCCCTGGGAGCTGCAGGTGACGTCGGAGTGCTCTGGCGTCTCTCAGGGACGCAGCCTGGGCTCAGGGCAGGGCAGGTTCGGTTCCCAGAGGGCTGCTCGAGGTCAGCGTGGTCCTGCAACGCTGTTCTTGAAGCCAGCACGATGCACGCAGGGTTCATCCCCTTGTAGCACCTGAAGAGGCCTGTAGGCTCTCGGGCTGGAGGTCATATCATGCCATCTTGGACTACTCAGCCCAGAGTGACAACACAAAGACTGGGGCATACTCCACAATTATAATGCACCTCCAGCAGTCATCAAAAAGACAATGAATCTGTCATCCATTCTTTCACTTTCTGATCGCAAAAGGGCTTTCCTGCTGCTCAATAAGCCCAGGGTACTCCAGCCAATCCCCTCCCTGCCTGTCCCGTTTTTGTGCAGCACCCAATAATTATAGGCCTCATCCTACTCCTTGTTCACCGAGGACTCCACTCAACAATGTTCCCAAAGGACCCAGGATCTCCATGGCCTCCAAGTACAAAACAGAATTTCCCCAGAGGACAAAGAGAACCAAGCCAGGCATTTTTTACATTAGAGCACACAACCATAAATCAGAAAATAGAGTAAAAATGGGCTTAGGTTCATCATGTTTGGAAACCAGTCTTCAAACCTGACATATTCCCCTGGGGCTGATATTGCTTCATAAATACTCCTCACAGTTTTCACTTGCTGCAGTGCTGCTAAAGTACCAAATAAAAAAAGAAGGCCTTGAAATTTCACGATGTGACATCTTGACATCTAAAACGCCTATATTGACGTTATCTGCATAATGTGTTAGAGACGTATAAGTGCTCGAAGCTTATAACTGCTGTCGCCGTGGAAATTGCCAGGCCTGCACAGAAACAGCCTCGCCAACACCAGTACAGGCCGAGAGGAGTCAGAGAAGCAAGGATAACAGCGCTCCTTCCAACTCTGGAGGGTTTATTCCACTTAAAGACACAGGACACTGCTGAGGAATCATATTTCTAATCACGTTTTCATGTATTTATATAAACTTTTGTGAAAATGTAAGCACACCCCCTCAAGATTTTACGGATTAACATACAGTATTCAGGCAAATCTGACCTTCACCTAGACCTCACCAATTCCTAATCGTAAATACAACTGACTTCATTTGACGTATCACACACAAACATTTCTACCTTGTCATTATTTATTTAAAAAGAGCTCAGCCAGCACTCGATTTCTTTGTGTGAAAAAAGTAAGTGCAAGTGAATCACTGCACCAGGCACGTGACTGAAATTCCAGTGTTTTATCCTTGCTGTCCTTCATTCCCGTTGGCACTCCCTTGCTGAAGTGCAGCTTCCCTGTTGCACTGCTCCTGCGCCTGGCAGCAGGAACGGGGAAGTCAGCTCGCGCCACAGTGCTGCGCCTCTCTCTGAAGTGCGGGAGGAGCAGTCGCGCGTGGGCGCCCAGCTGGGAGAGCAGAGCCGGCCCCCAGTCGGCCGCGGACGCACGAGGCCAGCGAGGCTCACGTGGAGCTCGTCCGCCCAGGGTTCGAGAGCTCGGCTGAGCGCTCCGCAAGGAGCGCCCTGTGGAAAACAGACAGGAGCACCTCGGAGAGATCAGCGCCTTCACCTTGCGCTGGTCCCATGTGGTTGAAAGTGGGGAAGGGTGGGGAACGTGGTTTTGCACATCAAATGCCAGGGAGGACATAACAAAATTTGGCAGCCAGGACCCTGACAGGTCTAGTGCACATTACTTCTGTCCTGGAGTCCTTGCACTGGCTTCCTGTCAAGTTTTGTGTATAAGGCTCTGCATGGTTTGGCACCTCAGTACCTGACTGAACTATTATCACCCTACTTCCCACCTTGCAACCTTGGCTCTTCTAATTTTGATCTCCTATCTGTCTCCCAAGCCCGTCTACACTGTGGGTGACAGGGCCTTCTCCTGCTGCCCCAAAGCTCTGGAGCTCCCTCCCCAAGGATATCGGAGAGTCAACTTCTCTCTGATGGGGTACACCCTGAATGGGACCCGAGTCCAGCACAGAGCATTAATTTAAATGAAGTCTAATTATGCAACAGTATTATTCTCTTTCACAACACTATTCTTCTGAAGACCCTTGTCCTTGTATATTATGAAGCAGATATAGGGCTTTGTTTCTACAGGATGTCGGTCTTAAACAGGAAAAAAAAAAATTAATAGAGGAGATCTATATTTCAATCCGTCGGTCTGCGTTGGTTTTTTCCAGTAATGTCATACATTTCTCTTTGAAAGTTGGTGACCGCAAAGTGCCCATTACAACAGAAGCCCTCTTCTGCTGTTTGACTGACACAGATGATTCCCTGGTCTGTAATCCCACAAAAAGATGCCTATAGCTCTTCATGAGCAAGGTTTATCAGAGCAGACATGATGATATAGCATTGCTGCATTGGGATTTTCTTCAATGAGTGGAGTTTGTATTTTGTCTTTCGTCAGCTATTTTTCTTAAAAATTATAATGCCAGTTTGCACTTTCATTGTCTGCATCCTTCAAGTACTTACAGTACTGTACTTAAACCCAACCTGGCCAGACACTGTTACTGTCAACACACAAAAGAAGATGCTCACTCAGAGGTGGTTGTTCAAAGACCTGTGTACATTGACCTCATGTGACAAAGGCATTCCGATTCCAGATAGAAAAGCAAGATGACTCAGCCATGCTTCTTCCATTGAGTGTCGATAAACAATGACTGCAGACTCCGCGGGCGAGTGATGCGAGCAGGATACGTGAGGTGACGGGGTACCGGACTACCCTGAAAAATCTCAGGAAGGATCTTTCGCATGTCAAGATCAAGTCTGATACTACTGACAAACACCAACAGCGATGACGTTTCTGTTAAATGTACAGCATTTTCACCGGCACTTTATTTCTTTCAACAAGAACAGATTTAAAAATCCAAAACTCAGATTCTGCGGTGCAGGAAAGAAAGAACAGTGACTTGGAAGAAAGGTCACAATCGAGAGGACGGCATTTGGCCCATCTAGACTGTTTGATAGTTTGTCCTTTGTTGATTCCAGTATCTCAACCACGTGCTTCGAAAACCGAAGCAGGAGTGACTGTGTCAACAACATGGCAGGGCATCTTAATCCACACGAACACAACCCTTTGCGTAAAGACGGGCCTCCTGACATGATTGGAGGATCTTATTGGACATGACTTACAGCTCTACTGTCCAGAACGGAAGCCTAGTGACAGTACAGGGAACAGCCTCCTTTTGTGGGATGTTAGATCATCACTTTTGTCACCGCTGTTAACACAAAAAATGGTAGTAAAACAAACTCAATTGTTTTAGTGATGTAAAAACCATTGGATTTGATTCCAGGATCTCATCCAGCTCCTTGAAAGAAGAGATGGTATTAGCTTAGACAAAGTGACAGTCTTTTTTTCAGAAATCTTTTTGAACACATTTTGAAGCTTCTGCAGTGTTTCCAAATCCTCCTGTTGATGGCACAATCTGTGAACTTGATTAGTTGGCAGACAAGACTGGAATCATGAACAGACAGCATTCAATATTTCATGTTTTTGCCGAACTCAATTTAAAGACATGATAAAATACCAACTTTGTACAATACCACGCTAAGTCATTGTCACATTTAATTTCATTCAGCTCTGCAAAAGTGCTTGTGTTTTTTATGCTTGTTCTATGACCGTGGGTTAACCCTGTTAACAATACACCCTCCGGGATTTGATCAAATCTCCTCTTGCTCTCATTTGCTCTAGACTGAAGAGATTTAGCTCCTGCAGCCAGTCCCGAGGTCAGAATTGCTGTTATTCACCTTTAAACTCTTTCTAAGGCTGTCATATCCCTTTAGTGATATGGTGACCAAAGCTGAACAATATGTTAAATGAGTTCTTAGTGCTCTGTAAATCTTGAGCATGTCCCTGAATTTAGATTTCACTCTTTTTGCTGCGTATCTAAGCTTTCCAGTTTCTTTTTTATTGTTGTCCCACATAGACTCTGAAGATGCCATAAAGAGCCTTTCTAGACACCCATTTTTCTTTCATGCGTCTCTTCCTGCAGCTCAGAATCACCCAGGTGATATCTACAGTGCATGGCAACACAAAGACAACTGCAAAAAACTGAAGAATGGTCATGAATTTTTATTTCCCTATTTTGTTATTCTCTCTGAGCACTGTCATTCTGCAGTTTTAATATAATATGAAGGAAAGCGTCAACAGAGCTCTTCCTAAGTGTGTCAGGAAGTGGATTCAGTATAACGGAGCAACAGCGAGTGTGCAGTAATACAGGCAGGGGCAGGAGTACAATATCATTTTATTTTTCACAACAAATGACAACTGCAGTCTAGTTGTATCAGGCAGCTTTAAAAAAGAACTTAAAATACCTGAAATGAAAATCACTGGCAGCAAGACAGTCTCTTACAAAAAAAGATACAAAATACAGGTGTGTAAAGTTAATTTTTGCACATCTAATGCAAATTAGCCACCAGACATAACATAATCAAGTTTACGGAAGCCCTGTCATAATGTTTAAAGCTGGTTTAGTTACGGCACTTATCCAGTTCTCAGCCAGTGCACATCAATAAAAGAAACCACTGCTTGTTAACACTGCAGAGGATTAGCCACCTCTAGCATTCTAGATATAATTAAAGAGATTGACTTTACTTACAAATGAGCAAATGGAGTGACAATCACCTCTTTAAAAAGAATCTGAAACTTATCTAAACATTCAGCAGAGATTACATCACCAGGTCTGGATGTAGTAGCTATAAACTGATTATGAAGCATGATGGCTTATTGTCAAAAAATCATGGCTTATCTCCTAAAAGTCTTCTATCGAAACCACGGTTTTACCTGTAAGTAATCCTCTTATCAAAACCAAAAAAACAACGGCTTTAAAAATACACCACAGCAATCTAAGGTAATCTGGTTTTGAAAGAACTTAAATTTTCTTTGCCAAACAGCCTTTAACAAATTCCTGTGATACTGAACAGTAGATCATACAAGAGGAAAAAATGATTAGCTCCTAAAATCTGCTCTTACCACTTTGTCTGTGACAACTACAGAACAATAATATGCTCACATCCTAATTTTCGATCGAGTGTCCTACAGGATATAAAAACCATGCCTTTAGTGCAGTTAACAGTCTCAAAACCTTACAATGAGAAATGTGCAAGCAGGTTTCAACAGTGCAAGCAGGTTTTTAACAGTGGTTATGCAAGACAAGAGCTCATGAATTGTTCTGTCTCCAGTCCATTAAATTCCTTTTGTCTTGTATGTTCAAGGCTTCACAGAACGCTTTCTTGTTTTTTCTGAAAAACAGACAAATAAGAAAAGTTTTTAACATAATAAACAACATAATTAGCTGTTAGCATCCAGGAACAGATAATGTCCCTGTAGACAGTATCGTTACGGATGATGAGGGGGAGTTGGAAGGACAACAGCAAGAAGAGTAGGTGATAAGTACTCTTGGTCTTCACAAATCCTCTAGATTAAAGACTGTCTGTCTGGAGTAAGGGGGTTATGTCAGCACAAACAGCTGAATTTTTTAAAAGCTGGGACACTTCTGCTATTCTAACCATACATAACAGGGATCCTAGCACCTGGGCACTTATTATTCAGGAAATGTGACTGAAGCTGAGGTATTCGACTGACCCAGGTATGCGGTACTGTGTGAAACTGAGGAAGTGCAAAGAGGCTACCTTTTTCGATGCAGTGAAATATAAATTTAATTCCATTCATTCTGACTCCCCCAGGAACACAATGTATGTGAGACACAGCTGTCTCTAATGTCTAACATTCTGCTGGCCTTTTTAATTGCTTCCACACATGCCATCTAGAAGATGTATATATACAGTATTGTGTTGACACAAACACCTAGGTCTTTTTAATGAGTAGCCTCTTCTAGATCAGCGTTTCTCATTTCGTGTTTATAGTTTATATTTTGCACTTGTCTGGTGTTAACCTAGTCCTGGTGTTAATTTCATCTGAATCTTTTATGTTCTGCTTCTACAGTGTTTGTTAATCCTTCTGTTCTGGAATCATCTGCACACTTGACTAGTTTTCTAACTATTCCAGAAACTAGATCATTGATATAAATAAGGAAGAACTGTGGTCCAACTTCAGATCCTTCCATTACTAAATAAATCACCCCAATTTTAGCATTCACCCCTTATTGGTATTCACTGGTTTATATACAGTACTGCATTCACCTCATTTCAAACACAGAATGTTTCCTGAATGGGAACAAGTAACAGTTTTATTCCATGCTGAAAAGAGAAGAAAACACAACGTTTCAGCCGTGGAGCCTTCTTCACACCTGAGGTGATGGAGCCACCATCCACCTCAGGCACATTTTCCTGTATCTAAAGGTTCTGGCATCGCCTGCAATTATGTCTCCAGTATCTCACACACTGTACACACGGTCCCTCAGGCCACTTCGAAAGCACCCAGAGAACAGCATGTGCAGCCAGTCATCTCATTTACTGTATGCATCTCTGGCAGAAAGCGCACTGCTGCCTTCGTCGGTAACGTGGGTAACGTTCGCTGACCGTTTCAGGGAACATGAAACCAGCAGTTCTCCATTTCACCTGCCCCAGCCATGATTTCACTGACCTATCTGTCTGCATCCTTTTACAGGGATTTCAGGACTTCTACACCAGAAAAACATCAGAAGCCAGTATGATCCTTAAACTTGGATCTCATGTTCTTCAAACTAGAATAGCTTATTACAAATCTAGATCCGTTATCTAAATTAAGAAGAGCACCTAAATTAATACACTACACCTGTAAAGCACAAATAACATTAACATCTTCATACTCATGTGTAAACTGTATCCAACTCTGTAAGATGAAAATACACTAAGCAGCAAGAAACATTATTCTATTTATGCATGTATGATCATTTGAATTAATCGATCATTTATGACAGAGCATGATATGCTCAACTAACTTTGACTGTGGCATAAGACCTAATTCATTTCATTAGTGAAAGATGTTGGAGCACAAGTGATGAGGTGATTTATCCTGCTGAATGTCAAGTCTAGTAAAAACAAATTCAGAACAACACAGAACGGAACTAATATGCCCGGCATTTTAAGAGAACAATGATTTTACTCCATCTGTATTTTTGCGGCTGGACTCTACTGTGTGATACTGCTTACAAAGCCAAGAATCGTGTGAGTGAGTGAGGAGCAGATGTGGTGGATGACAAATGCAGTATGCAGCATGCATCTCCACTCCAAGCGGGAAGGAGTATCTAGTTGCTATAGAATTTCCACATATATTGCTTGATAACATCCTGACTGCACGGCACAACACTAGTGAGGTCCTGGGACTTCCTGTAGGCTCATCCTGATGTGACAACATTCCAGCAGCACAACGAGCATCCGAATGCTGCTCTGAGGAAGTGTCTGAAGAGCTGGGATGACATGTGGCCTCTAGGGCCCAGAGACCAGTGAATAGGCACAGGCTTGTCTCTATTCTCCAGAGAAAAAACAGTATCCCACAACGCAGCACATGCAACCTTATACGACCCTCAGCCTGTACAGCCCAAACTGCTGCCACAAAGCAGAGTACCAGCCTATAAATGTCACAGCAGACCTCCTGTTGATCAGCCTTGCGGAAGACAAATGCTAATCAGCTGTACGAATTTCCCCATTTCACTTCAGGATGTTTTTTGCAGTTATAAGTGAGAAGTTTCTTTGGGTGCTCAGTATATTTGTTACTGACTAAACATGCTGGACCGTGATCGTCTGAGTATATGATCATGGGGGGGAATTCAAAATAAATTCTCTTCACACAGCTCCTTGCTACTTCATAAACTAACATGGATAAAACAACAGGGATAGACAGTGCAACAGGATAAACATTTAATAAGAAGTAGTCTTGGTGCAGGAGCCAGTAAAGACAAGTACATCTTGATATATAAGTCAGGATTAAGCTCCTCCTTCAGGGATTCAGAAATTCCTTCATCCCCCCCCCCCACATCTTTGGCAAACCTCAGACAACATCCCTGAAGGCAATAAATCTTTTATATTCTCTCTGGAAACCATGGCGTCTAACACAACAGAAAGAGGCTCAAAGAGAATTTTCTAGAATCTATATGAGGGAAATGCAAACAAAGGAAGGATTCAGACCTTCAAATAATGAAAATAACTGAACAGTTTGCATTTTTTGCTATTTTTTTATTGGGATCTGCCCTCCTAATTCTTTCTAATATTTCTCATGTATAATAGTATTAAAATACTTCTATAATTGAATGACCACCTGTAGTACATTTGACAAGAAAGGTAAGATTTACCTCTTCCATCACTTTTTCATTTTTACCCTGTACCCCAGTTTGCAAAGATAACATTCAGCTATAGTCTTTTCAATTACTCTGGAACATAAACAAAAAAAAAGTAAAACAAAATGATTGCTTTGCCTATTCAGACCCTCTTGGGAAATCAACCAAAATCAAGATTACCATGGTTGTTACTGGATTCGTAGACCTTTTCTTCAACTTTTGCTGCAGTGGTGTTTAGCTCATTTTCCCAGGGCCCATAGCAGGGCTGTCCAGT